CTATCCCCTATCCCTAATCCCTATCCCTATCCCCTATCCCCTATCCCTATCCCCTATCCCTATCCCCTAGCCCTATCCCCTAGCCCTATCCCCTAGCCCTAGCCCCTAGCCCTATCCCCTATCCCCTACCCTATCCCCCTAGCCCTATCCCCTAGCCCTAGCCCTATCCCCTAGCCCTATCCCCTAGCCCTATCCCCTAGCCCTATCCCCTAGCCCTAGCCCTATCCCCTAGCCCTATCCCCTAGCCCTATCCCCTAGCCCTATCCCTATCCCCTAGCCCTATCCCCTAGCCCTATCCCCTAGCCCTATCCCCTAGCCCTATCCCCTAGCCCTATCCCTAGCCCTATCCCCTAGCCCTATCCCCTAGCCCTATCCCAGCCCTATCCCCTAGCCCTTCCCCTATCCCCTAGCCCTATCCCCTAGCCCTATCCACCAGGCAGTATGGTGGTAGATCCAATAGGCCAGGTGGTGTTGTTACTCCTATCCAGTCCTCTCTGGTAATGAATAGGGTGTAGGGGCTAGGGGTTGGTTTGGGATTCAGAGAATGAGAACTTCCCTCACTATCTGACCTCTAGGCTAGAACTAATCATTAAGACATGGATTTCCAGCAGAGATAGCACACACTAATAGGACCAGGTCTTTACTATTGCCACTGAGGTGAAACAAGTCATTCTGACAACAAAGTTGAAATTCTAAAATCATGTCGCTTTCCGACTCCTACAGTAATGCCTTTATTAATTCCATATACTGAATAGATTCAAGTATGCATTTTGTTAGCTACGCGTTAGCTATGTTTCTTCACTATTGTGAGCTAAAAATCAACAAATAAGTTTTGTTGCAATACACTTGATTTGACATGAATTCATAATGATCATCACACTGTTTCTTTTCTTTTCTATATAAGCTAATTTTCTTCAAAAGGTAATTCCTGGTGGCATAGTAGGTTAACACGGTGTGCATTTGGTAATAGATTATGAGATATCAAAGAGCTACAACATTATTGTTCCCAATTCCATACACTTAGAGTATGAAGATAAACCTCACCCTTTCTGCTTGCAGCATTCAAATGATATACGTTTTGCATTGAAATGACATGAATTCCTTCACTGGAATATTTCCACAATATGATAATAATAATAATAATAATAATAATAATAATATGGATCGAGAGAAGGGAGGCTGGAGAGGTAGGTGTGGTAATAAAGCCATCGGTAAAATGTTCAGTAAAACAAACATTAAAACCTATAGATATTACAACGCAAAGTTCATATCATTTGCATACTAAAGTGGACACAACACATACAGAAAAACAATACATACAGCTATATATATATATATATATATATATATATATATATATATATGTAGAAAGGAATATTGATAAGTATTATAGATCTCAGTTCTCTCCCAACACATCATGATAATAATAATAATAATAAAACATTGAAGAGTTGTGTTGCATGTTAATGGTGCAACAGTTCCGTGCGTCCCAAATGACACCCTATTCCCTATATAGTGCACTACGCTTTACCAAATGTAGGTCAAAAGTAGTGCACTATATAGGGAATAGTGTGACATTAGGGAATGAATCAGTACAACTGAAGAGCTGCATCAGTCACCCTTGATCTCTGGCTGGCTCACAACTTCCTCCAGCTAAATCGAGACGTGACCGAGGTACTTATTGTTGGAGCCAAAGCACAGAGAGAGAATCTGACCGCACATTTTAACTCACAGGCAATAAAGATAAAACACCAGGTAAAAAACCTAGGTGTTATTTTAGATTCTGAACTCAATTTCGAATCACACTTTAGAAATGTCACCAGAACAGCTTATTACCACCTGAGGAACATTGCCACGGTGCGTCCGTTTCTCTCTCAGGCTGATACAGAGAGACTCCTCCATGCTTTTATTACAAGCAGGCTTGACTACCGTAATGCTCTCCTGTCTGGTCTACCCAAGAAAGCCATTGGTCAACTGCAAAACATACAGAATGCTTCAGCACGGGTACTGACCGAGATCAGACGGAGAGCACACATTACACCGGTTTTAAGGTCTCTGCACTGGCCGCCTGTGAGTTTTAGAATTCATTTAAAGATTATTCTATTGGTTTTTAAATCAATCCACAATTGTTCGCCCCAATACATGTCAGACATGCTTTTAAGTTATGTACCCAGTAGGTCCCTCAGGTCCTCTGGCACTGGCCTTTTAACTATCCCAAAGCTTAGGACCAAGAGGCATGGAGAGGCAGTCTTTAGTTACTATGCCCCCAGCCTTTGGAATAGCCTGCCAGAGAACCTGAGGAGGGCTGAAACTGTGGACATATTTAAAAGAGATCTTAAAACACATCTTTTTAGCTTTGCTTTTCCTCAGGGTGCTTTTTAGTAAGTCCGTTTTTGACATTCTTTTGTTTTTTATCTGATGTTTGTTGTGTAGTAAATATTTTAGCTTTTATTTTCATTGTTTTATATTAGTTTCTTTCCTGTGAAGCACATTGCATTGCATTCCATGTCTTAAATGTGCTGTATAAATAAAGCTTGATTTGAATGGTGTGGCAGGGCCTTCAGTGATGTAACAAATGCATGCACAACAAAGATACACCATGAAAGTTTCAATCCCCAAAGAGCCTAGAGAACAACAAACAAAAACATACTAAAGCATAGATAGCTTTAGTACATTGAATGATTGGAATAATACAATTTTAGGTCCCAATCTTTTTTTTTGTACACTATTGAAATCACAACTAGATTGTAATTTTACATGAAGTAAAATTGTGTGCCTTGCTCCAGTTCTTTAAAAATAGTTGTGTGGTAGTGTAAGAAGTGTTAGCAGAGAAGTAGAGGAACATTTAATACCTTCTAACTTTATGTCTAGCTTTTTGGGAAAGTGGTACAAATGTATGTTGTTTATAAAAAGGTTAGAGAAAATGTGGTTGATGCGGTTACTGAAACAGCTGTACCTCTAGATTAGTTGAAGATATTTTCTGCTATGATTTCAGATTTGAATAGCAGAGAAGTAGAGGAAGAATTCATACCCTCTAACTTTTTGAATAACTTATTGGGAAACTGTCTTAAAACAGCAGTTGTTTTAATAAGTTAGGAAGAAAAGCAGTTGGTGCAGTTCTCAAACAGCTGTATCGTTAGATTGGTAGAAGTTATTCCTGTTCTGATTTCATATTTGAATAGCGGAGAAGTAGAGGAAGATTTCATATGCAATATTTTTGTTTGGAAAGTGGTCAAAGTAGCTGATTTGTGTCAAAAGTTCCATTGTTGCATTCACGGTAAATGGAATGTTGGAAGTCATGATGTCACAATGCTCTAATCTGCTTGTGTGAGTATCCATAGCAACGGACACGAAAGAGCTTTTAGCTGATGTTAGCTAGCTACTTTTCCTCACTCTAAACTCAGACAAACAGCTGTAACTTTTGATTGGTAGAATATATTTCTGCTCTGATTTCTGATTTGAATAGCATAGCAGAGAAGTAGAAGAACAATTCCACATTTGAATATATTTTTGTTGTGATTTCAGATTTGAATAGCAGAGAAGTAGAGGAAGACTTCATATGCTCTAACTTTCTGTTTAACTTGTTGGGGAAGAGGTCAAAGTAGCAGATTTTTGTCAAAAGTTGCATTGTTGCATTCACAGTGAATGGAATGTTGGAAGTCATGATGTCACAATGGAAGCTTTAGAAGGTTGAACAAATCCCATTAAAGTGGATGCAGTTAATTTAATTTAATTAAAAGGTTTATAGTTTAAATGTTATCAAAAAGTTGTATGCAAGCAACTTAATCCAGATCAGTCTACACGTTTTAAAGTTTGAATGGCTGTAAGAGGAGTAGCGTTCCAAATATTAATAATGAGAATAGAAAGTCAGAAATAATTTGGACAATATTAAAAGTGGCTTCTTTATTTATTATTTTTTCTGTTTGTTTTTTTAATAGAATCTATTGCAGATTCGTTTGCTCTTCAGATATAGTATTAGTTCTGTCACTGGCCCAAATTCATGATATTGAATGTTTGTTTTTAACACCAAGACCACAATGATATGATATTGGCCATGGTTTCAAAGTGCAAAAAGAATGTTGGTTATTACGATAGCTCTATTTTCCTTCTACGTTTGGGGATAACTAGGTACTGCATTTAGAGAAAAGACCACCAGGGACAAGGCAATTAGGGTCCAATCAGAGCTATAAGCTGATTGGCTGAATGGCAATTACAACCAATCACAGGCAGGGATGACTGGGCTGTTCAGGTAAGATCCAATGGGAGTGTCAGTATTGTATAGTTGTATAAAGTGCACAACTTAACATATTCTATGGGTCTTGGCCTGTAACACATGCATTTAAAAATAAATGTAAGATGTAATTTAAGCTCTAATTCATAGTATACTACATAATAGCTGGTAATAATAATAAGGTATGGATCATTTTGTTTCTTTAATGAGCATGCTTGGTGAACTTTGAATAGTCTAACTAAGTGATTCTTTGTTTTCTTGAGAACTCGTAAAATCCTGCTTGCTTTGTCATTAGGACCAACAATTTTTTTATATGTTTTATTATTACAAGATATGTAATTTATATTAAATCTGATTGATAGGCAATAGTCGTCATCCGCATGATCATTCTGATGCTATGGCGGTTCATTGAGATAACTGCCGTAGCTCAACATATTCAGACAATAGATCTACCCTGTAATTCATCAATCACGCCCACATAAAAAATATCATAAAAAAATAAATAAAATAATCATCATTTGAGAACATGGTATTTGTGGCTTCAATTCCACTGGAATCTTGTGTTGCCGCCGCTTTGCAATCAACGTCTCTCTGCTCCTATTACTGTGCTCACCGCCGTAACATTACATTCAACACCACAAGGACAATTAAAGAGGCTATACGCAACGTGTTCGCCTCTAGGGGGGGTGCTCATAAGCCAAAAGGGGTCAAAGAAAGAAATCCTAAATTGGTGGTAGTCGTACTTTAACCCGACGACAACGATCAAATGTTCGAACAATCCCATCAAATTGATCAAAACCTTATTTCATGATGAGAGGTGATCTCGGATCCTATCGCTGTGCTGTGCGTGATGTAGTTGTGATCTAGTCGCGAGAGAGGGAAAAGGCAGAGATCCGATCGGTTGACGTTCTTGTCGCTTAGTTGCCAGGCAGGAAGCTGAGGATGTATTCTCCCGCCCCGAAGAAGTAGACCACCTGGGCGATACCAAATAAGGGCGCGATGACCAGGGCACGGCAGTACGCCCCCTTCAGGAACGCTGAGGGACCCTCGTTCTTCATGATTTTACTGATGGGTGAGAGGTGAGAAGAGACATGGGCAACACAGATTAGCAACAAGATGTCAGTGAATAGTTTTAACCTCGTTACTATAATGATGTGTTTTAACTGAATATGGCAGCTGAGTTATCATATAGCGTATACAGTGTATTCATTCTGTATTCAAATTGTTGCCGCAACACCAAAAAGAACAAGAAACATATAGTGATGCTAATTATAACCATCTTCTGGTAGAGAGATAGGCTTTCCCCAAAACCTTCTCAATTAAATGTTAACTAGCTACAAAGTAGCCTACCTGTCAGAATAATATCATGATGTTTTCCACCAATCATCGTGGGCATTTGTTTTGTAAACTCCATCACGTTTAAAGAAACCCCACTAACCAAACAACAGTGCTAGGTGCATTGGCACTTGAATCAAAGGGTAACTACTCTCAACAATCTCCTGATGTGGTAATATGTATTGTACTATACTTAGAACATCCAATTTTTTATGTTTTTCTCTAAAACAAAAAGTGTGCTTTTGAGAGCGAAAACCTGAAAAAACGAGGGGAAATCCTGAACAGCCTCAATGCGCCACGATGGAAATCCCCATGTGTAGGTTTACCTGATGCAGTCAGTCACCCCGCTGTACGTTTCCTCTGTACTCCCTCTGTTCATAGACTGGATTCTGGTCTTTATCACTGTAAATACACAACAATACCATGTTAACACTACAATACACACTGATGCAACTAAGAATATATGATTGGTGTAAGATCCAGACTAATTACAGACCATTTTAACTCAGAGAGACATAACATAGTGTGATGGAAAATGGTATGTTTGTGCTTTTCTAATTACCAATTTCTGTGTTCTATGTTTGTGCTTTTCTAATAACCAATGTCTGTGTTCATGGAAGTGACTGATTGAACGAATCCTCACTATCAGTATTTGCAATTTGGCAGTACGCCAAGACCCTTGTTTTGAGAATGGAAGATATCTCAGTTTCAAGGTCTCAGCTTGGAGAGAAGAAGCCTCGTGAGGTATCGGTCGGTCACATGTTATGAACCAGTATAGGTCTGTCACATGTTATGAACCAGTATTGGTCGGTCACATGTTATGAACCAGTATAGGTCTGTCACATGTTATGAACCAGTATTGGTCGGTCACATGTTATGAACCAGTATTGGTCTGTCACATGTTATGAACCAGTATTGGTCGGTCACATGTTATGAACCAGTATTGGTCGGTCACATGTTATGAACCAGTATTGGTCGGTCACATGTTATGAACCAGAATTGGTCGGTCACATGAACGAAGCAAACGTTAATGGTGAATTAATGACGAATGATGAATAAAGTAAATCATGCAAATATAACTTGTCTGCAGTATATAAGAGAGATCTAACGGGACTGCCCCGGCAGAGCTCACTTCAGACCGGTACTTTATGCATCTAAGTTTGACTGTGACCTCTCCAGCATGATGATAATAAACAATGATTCATTTAAAGATTGACCTCGAGTGTCCCTGTGTAGAATTTCCACGAAAACGGTATAATCTTATAACAAGATAGAATTATTATTTTTTTATAAAGAAAATCCCTTGTCTCACCAACTACAGGGACAGCGGAGGCGCTGCCAGCCCATATTACTACAGTATTATTATAATCTATATTATAATATTATCATATCATGTCTCACCATCTACAGGGTTGACAGCGACAGCGGCCGTGCTGCCAGCCAGACAGCCTGCCAGGAAGGACACGTAGAACGGGGCGGGGCCCTCCGCTCCTCTCTTCCCCAGGGTGTTCAGGTTGGCAAACAGAGGGAAGTAGATGATGGAGAATGGAACATCCCTGAGAGGAGAGAGAGGGAAGGAGGGAGAGGAGAGGAGGGAGAGGATAGGTGGGGAGGGGAGGGGGGGGGTGGGGGAATTTTATGGATGGGGAGGAAGTCGATGAGTCTATCTGAATAGGCGAGTTCTAGTCCTGCTTAGAGTGAGGAGTCTGGGAGAGTGAGGGATGAGGAAGGGATAAGAGGAGAGGAGGAGAGGAGATGGAGAGGAGGGAAGGGGGGGAGGGGAGAGGGGGGGGGGGGGATTGGGGAGAAGAGGGAAGGAGTAGGAATTGAAGCTAGGAGGGAGAGGAGAGGGGGGAGGATGGGAGAAATGAGAGATGAGCAGAGGAGAGTTTTATCATATTGTCATACCTCAGAGTTGTGGCCAGAGCAGTGTGTCAGTGTATTTATGGATGGACTTTAATTGAATTTCCTTGATTCCTAGATTCCTTGCATCCTCTTTCCTCAACTTCTTCTCAAAACGCCTTGGAGGAGAAGATCCAAGGTCCCTCAGTCTCTGACCTTTTTCCTCCGTACAAGGAGGACGAGTGGAGAGGACGGTAGGAATCCAGGAAATACAATTGAGAAAGAGCCAATGAGCAGAGGGTACCTGGTGGTCAGAACACTGTTACGTTGTTTACCTGAGCAGTGTGGCCCCCAGGCCCTTGTACAGCCCAGCAATGCCCTTCTCCTTAAGAAGTTCCCTGGTCAGCTGCATGGCGGTGGGGGACTTGGTCGGCACGGCCCCTGGTACCACTGTCTCTGGCATCAGCTTCCTCTGGGCCTCTGAGAGAAGGACAGACAGGGACAACATGGGGTTTAAAGCTCTTAAATCTCTTACCGATTCTCCTCTACCTCATCTAAATATATTTTATTTTCGTACTAGCACTGAACTTTTCTGATAGTTGATTTGTTAAGGAAAAATTGTACTTACTATGATTGTAATTAACATGAATGCACTAACCTCTCTCTCTCTCTCTCTCTCTCTCTCTCTCTCTCTCTCTCTCTATCTATCTATCTATATATCTATCTATCTAACTAACTAACTAGTTTGCAGGTATTTAGGCAAGATAAGACTTTATAAGGGTTTGTACTTGCTCATGTAAAGTCTTACAATGCATTATAACTGCATCATAACGCATTATAACTGCATCATAACGCATTATAACTGCATCATAATGCATTATAACTGCATCATAACGCATTATAACTGCATCATAACGCATTATAACTGCATCATAACGCATTATAACTGCATCATAACGCATTATAACTGCATCATAACGCATTATAACTGCATCATAATGCATTATAACTGCAGGCTGTTACCTCATGGAATACATTAATAACTCAATGAGCATGTACAACAAGGGGACTAAAATAGACAGTAGAGTAGGTCAACAGCTTATGTGGTTCCAATATTGACCACACGGTGGCAGAATTGCTCCATATTTCAACACTAGGTCATAGTGACCCTTCCATTTTGCAGCTCCATCTCTCTCTTACCGATCCTCCTCCGTCTCTCTAAATATCTTACCGATTGTTTTCCATCTCCCTAATGGCTCTATTCAACCTGTATCACTGATGGAAATGGAAAGGTCATTTCCTCTTGAGCCGACATATGCAGTGTTTACCATGAATGCAGTCTCCGCTAGCGCGAGAACATTGCCTTTAAATTTATATCACGCTGTAATACAGAACTTCCGCGATACGGATTTAATAGAGCCCTAAATCTCTTACCGATCCTCCTCGATTTCTCTCTAAACCTCCTAGCGATCCTCCTCTATCTCTTACTGATTATCCTCTATTTCTAACTGATTCTCCTCTATCTCTTACTGATTCTCCTCTCTCTCTAACTGATTCTCCGCTATCTCTAACTGATTCTCCTCTATCTCTAACTGATTCTCCTCTCTCTCTAACTGATTCTCCGCTATCTCTAACTGATTCTCCTCTATCTCTAACTGATTCTCCTCTATCTCTAACTGATTCTCCTCTATCTATCTCTAACTGATTCTCCTCTATCTATCTCTAACTGATTCTCCTCTCTCTCTAACTGATTCTCCTCTCTCTCTAACTGATTCTCCTCTATCTATCTCTAACTGATTCTCCTCTATCTCTAACTGATTCTCCTCTATCTATCTCTAACTGATTCTCCTCTATCTCTAACTGATTCTCCTCTCTCTCTAACTGATTCTCCTCTATCTCTAACTGATTCTCCTCTATCTCTAACTGATTCTCCTCTATCTCTAACTGATTCTCCTCTATCTCTAACTGATTCTCCTCTATCTATCTCTAACTGATTCTCCTCTCTCTCTAACTGATTCTCCTCTATCTCTAACTGATTCTCCTCTATCTATCTCTAACTGATTCTCCTCTATCTCTAACTGATTCTCCTCTATCTCTAACTGATTCTCCTCTATCTCTAACTGATTCTCCTCTATCTATCTCTAACTGATTCTCCTCTATCTATCTCTAACTGATTCTCCTCTCTCTCTAACTGATTCTCCTCTCTCTCTAACTGATTCTCCTCTCTCTCTAACTGATTCTCCGCTCTCTCTAACTGATTCTCCTCTATCTCTAACTGATTCTCCTCTATCTCTAACTGATTCTCCTCTATCTCTAACTGATTCTCCTCTATCTCTAACTGATTCTCCTCTATCTCTAACTGATTCTCCTCTATCTCTAACTGATTCTCCTCTATCTATCTCTAACTGATTCTCCTCTATCTATCTCTAACTGATTCTCCTCTATCTATCTCTAACTGATTCTCCTCTCTCTCTAACTGATTCTCCTCTATCTCTAACTGATTCTCCTCTATTTCTAACTGATTCTCCTCTCTCTCTAACTGATTCTCCTCTATCTCTAACTGATTCTCCTCTATTTCTAACTGATTCTCCTCTATCTCTAACTGATTCTCCTCTATCTATCTCTAACTGATTCTCCTCTATCTCTAACTGATTCTCCTCTATCTCTAACTGATTCTCCTCTATCTATCTCTAACTGATTCTCCTCTATTTCTAACTGATTCTCCTCTATCTCTAACTGATTCTCCTCTATCTCTAACTGATTCTCCTCTATCTCTAACTGATTCTCCTCTATCTCTAACTGATTCTCCTCTATCTCTTACTGATTCTCCTCTATCTCTTACTGATTCTCCTCTATCTCTAACTGATTCTCCTCTCTCTCTAACTGATTCTCCCCTCTCTCTAACTGATTCTCCTCTATCTATCTCTAACTGATTCTCCTCTATCTATCTCTAACTGATTCTCCTCTCTCTCTAACTGATTCTCCTCTATCTCTAACTGATTCTCCTCTATCTATCTCTTACTGATTCTCCTCTATCTCTAACTGATTCTCCTCTCTCTCTCTAACTGATTCTCCTCTCTCTCTAACTGATTCTCCTCTATCTCTAACTGATTCTCCTCTATCTATCTCTTACTGATTCTCCTCTATCTCTAACTGATTCTCCTCTATCTCTAACTGATTCTCCTCTATCTCTAACTGATTCTCCTCTCTCTCTAACTGATTCTCCTCTATCTCTAACTGATTCTCCTCTATCTCTAACTGATTCTCCTCTATCTCTAACTGATTCTCCTCTCTCTCTAACTGATTCTCCGCTATCTCTAACTGATTCTCCTCTCTCTCTAACTGATTCTCCTCCATCTCTTACTGATTATCCTCTATTTCTAACTGATTCTCCTCTATCTATTACTGATTCTCCTCTCTCTCTTACCAATTCTCCCAGCATCTTGAAGCTGAATCTTCAACATCTCCATAGGAGTTGTGACGATAACCTGTGACGATAAACAGAAATGCAAGATGAAAAACCACTGTATCTGACAGGAACATTTGGTAAAGTGTTATAACCAGGGGTATAGGCTTACATGAAGAAGATAGGGCATATCATGGGATATTTTCTAGGGGATAGATAGGCCTTTATTACTCAAGACTCCATGTAAACTACACCAACAATACACTGGTTAAAAATTCTATCCGACAATGAGAGTCTGGTAATAGCAAATAAATAATAGCTATTAACTCAGTAGCTCCTATTTCTGTTCCATGGCACATCTTACAACGAGGCTACCAAAAGCCTGTTAATAGTAAGGACATGCAACCTTCCAGACATGGAATTGTATCAACTCGCTACTCAAGGCTTTTACGTGTGACGTATAGTTAAATGCACCAAAGAGGAACAATGGGTACATATTGAAGATGCACATGCTCATCTCCAGAATATATTTTATGTGTCTATTTCTGAAGGATAAAGCTTAGAACATGAACAACTTCCTAGTTAAGAAAATGAAACGTATTCTACAAAAACCAATATCACTCCCTAGAACACAACCCTATGGGACAATCCTTGGAGAGCTTTTCAGAATTCACCGATAAATTGGTCCACATGGAAACCGAAAGGCATAGACACCGTAAATGACTTGGTAACAGGAAATACATTTATTTCCATGACAGAATTAAAAAGTAATTTGGGACTGACCAATGTAGATAGTTTCAAATACATGCAACTTTAAAAGTTACATATCACGAAATTTTGATTTGAAATCTTTTGGAATATCAGAGCAACCTTGAGGGAATATTATTTGAGTCAGAAAATGATGTTCATATGATGGGGAAGATCTACCAAACCTTACAGAGAGCAGAGAGCCGATCCATCTGACAACCTCTTAGAAACATATCAACTATTGGAACCAAGACATAAAAAGAACTGATGTTGGCACAAGATGGAGGGAACGTTGGAGCATAACTAACTAAATTACAGTTAACTAAAATGTACGCTTAATCCAGTATAAACTAATGTATAGAATTTATTATACAAGAGACAACATTCACAAATTCTACAGCACAACGGCAGTCATGTCTTAAGTGTAAAACTAATAATGACTCAATAATCCATGCTTTCTAGGAATACTATAAAGTCCAAAAGCTAGAAGGTTGGCTGGCTGTCAGAAGTACTCCAATGTAAACTTACTTTAATCCGTCTCTCTGCATATTTCAAAACATGGCGTATGGGGGTGTAGTGAGATACCCAATGGGCTGGACGATTCTCTTCTCATCATTCATCTTGAAAAAAACGTATACTAAAAACTTGGAAATCAATCAATCCGCCATCATTGACACGATGAAAAAATCTAATGATTTATTATTGAAATAGCATGGGTGACCGAGAAAAACAAATTGGTACAATTTAAGGCCAAGTGGCAAACCATAATGCAGGCAGTAGGGATGGGGGTGTGAACATGCGGGTCTGGGCAGACGAGATGTATTCGTTTTTTGTTTGCGTCTGTAAGTTGTTGTTCGTATGTATTAGTTTGTATTTGGAGTTTAAAAACATTAAGACATACAACCTCCTTACAGCTAATAGCTAGCATTAGCAACTCTGCAGTGTAACCAATAGGTCCAGGAGTTAAGCTAGCTAGGCTACAGCCTATCGGATACTATACCATTAACTAATAGCTAGCGTTAGCAACTCTGCAGTGTAACCAATAGGTCCAGGAGTTAAGCTAGCTAGGCTACGGCCTATCGGATACAATACCATTAACTAATAGCTAGCGTTAGCAACTCTGCAGTGTAACCAATAGGTCCAGGAGTTAAGCTAGCTAGGCTACAGCCTATCGGATACTATACCATTAACTAATAGCTAGCGTTAGCAACTATGCAATGTAACCAATAGGTCCAGGAGTTAAGCTAGCTAGGCTACGGCCTATCGGATACTATACCATTAACTAATAGCTAGCGTTAGCAACTCTGCAGTGTTACCAATAGGTCCAGGAGTTAGGCTAGCTACGCCCTACCGAACATCAATGTGCTAATAGCTAACAATTCACTAGCTAGACCACACTACAGATACCATTAACTAATACACACTCTTGTTTTTCCTGTGTAATCCGGGCTGTAGTAACTGGTTAACGGGATTAAAGGTGAGATGGCCAGTTGGGTTAATCTGAGGAGTACTACTCCTAATCTAATCTAATCTAGTGTTCCCTGGACTGTACTGAGCTAGCTGGCGTTCCCCTAATGGACCTCACTCTGGCACTGATACACACACACACACACACACACACACACACACACACACACACACACACACACACACACACACACACACACACACACACACACAGTCACAAACAAACACACACACACACGCACACAGTCACAAACACACACACACACACACACACACAGTCACAAACAAACACACACACACACACACACACACACACGCACACAGTCACAAACACACACACACACACACACACACACACACACACAGTCACAAACACACACACAGTCACGCAAACACACACACAAACACACAGTCACACACACACACACATTCACACACAGTCACACACACACACTATTGATGTCAACTGTTTGTTCACCCGCACTCGCCTGCAACCGCCTGACTATGGCCCATGTGAAAACAGGGAAGTAGCTCAGTTGGTAGAGCATGGCGTTTGCAACGCCAGGGTTGTGGGTTCGATTCCCACTATGAAAAATAATGTATGCGCTCACTAACTGTAAATCGCTCTGGATAAGAGCGTCTGCTAAATGACTAAAAACATTTTTTTTTAGAAAAAAACAAATAAAAAATAACACAAAATGAACAGATTTTTTTTTAAAACCTCCTCCTGACCCTGACCCGCAAATAGGCCAATAGAAAATGTGCTACACAGTCAGAGACGCTGGAACTATATTTTTGACAGGCGTGCGGGATTTCTTTTTATCAAGCCTAATTTCCGTTTATAATTTCCAACATTTTGGTAGGCTATTTGTTAGTCAACATTTTTATTTTATTTTTTTATTTCACCTTTATTTAACCAGGTAAGCCAGTTGAGAACAGGTTCTCATTTACAACTGCGACCTGGCCAAGATAAAGCAAAGTAGTGCAATAAAAACAACACAGAGTTACATATGGGGTAAAAAAAAAACATAAAGTCAGAAATACAACAGAAAATATATATACAGTGTGTGCAAATGTAGCAAGTTATGGAGGTAAGGCAATAAATAGGCTATAGTGCAGAATAATTACAATAGTATTAACACTGGAATGCTAGATGTGCAAGAGATTATGTGCAAATAGAGATACTGGGGTGCAAATGAGCAAAATAAATAACAATATAGGGATGAGGTAGTTGGGTGGGCTAATTTCGGATGGGCTGTGTACAGGTGCAGTGATCGGTAAGGTGCTCTGACAACATGTCTGTAATATACATGCAGATACATGCAGCTTCTCTTCTGTAATTACTGTAATCACACCCTGATCTGTTTCACCTGTCACACTCCCGTACGCTGTGGATTTTCGCACGTTAGCGGCTGAGTGTGCCTGGAACCCGGAAGCACTGTTCGACACGTTCCTTCACGGATTATCGGAGGTGATTAAAGACGAGCTCGCAGCCCGGGAGCGGCCCATGGATCTATACTCCCTCGTAGCCTTGACCATCGGGATCGATGGCCGGCTACATGAACGTAGGAGGGAGAGGCGGTCTGTTCCCTGTCGCCCTCGCTCGTCCTCGAATTCCACCTCGCCTACGAGGAATCCCGGAAATCCCCGAAGTCTACATTTCCGAGAGAGTCCGGTGTCACCCGAGTTCCGTCGGAGATCACCGAGGGCTGCCGACTCGCCTCCTCCGGAGCCCATGCAACTGGGCAGAGCTAGATTGCCTCCTGCTAAACGCAGACTAAACACTAAGAGCTGTCTGTATTGTGGAGCTACAGGACATTTCTTATCTACTTGCCCATTAAAAGACCAGACTCATCAGTAGGTACGAGTACACTGGTGAGCCGTAAGGGGAGTTTCCAATCTCTCTTTACTCATAACCCCCTCTATGCTACCCTGTTGTGGGGAGACCAGTCCAAATCCATCCGGGTACTCATTGACTCTGGGGCTGACGAGAGCTTTATGGACACTACCCTGGTGTTGGAGCTGGGTATCTCCACTCAATCCCGATGGACGTCAGAGCGCTGGATGGGCGCTCTATGAGCAAAGTCACTCACAATACAGTTCCTACCAACCTGCGAGTGTCAGGCAACCACAGTGAGGCTATGCAGTTTCTGCTCCTGGAGTCTCCTCATGTACCCATGGTTTTGGGGGTTTCAACTCGTGGAATATGTCTGTTCTATCAGCTCAAAATGATTAGTTTTAATGTCGTATTGAGCTTGTCTTCTTTCTTTCTAAACAATCTTAAGAGTTGTCATTTTATTGTGACACTTTTTTTTCTGTTTTGTCCTCTGTTGTCTCTCCCGTCTCATCGACGACCTTCCCTGTTCTGCTACTGGTCTCTTGCCTTTTGAGTGTTCCCTGGATATCAGCCCCCGCTCTTCCCGGAGAGGAAGAGGTCAGAATACCTTCTGCCCAGATGTTTGTCCGTCGCTGTCGCCGTACCTGGAAGAGAGCCCGGGCCGCTCTTCTCAAGACCACCTCCAGGACCCCTGCTCCCCGCTACCATCTTGGGCAGAGGGTATGTCTTTCTACTTGGGATCTGCCCCTCCGGGTGGAGTCCCGCAAACTTTCCCCCCATTTTATCGGCCCTTTCCCCATCTCTAAGGTCCTTAGCCCCTCTGCTGTTTGCCTTCTGTTGCCTCCCACCCTCCGTATACATCCCACTTTCTATATATCTAGAATTAAACCCCTGTCTCACAGCCCTTTGTCTCCTGTTTCCAGGCCCACCCCTCTCCCCCGTCTCATCGACGGCCATCCGGCGTCCACGGTGAGGCACCTCCTGAGTGTTTCGACCTCGGGGCAGGGGATTCCAGTACCTGGTTGACTGGG